ATAGATATTTTGTTCCCTCTTTCAAATTTTCTATGCAGTTAATACTGCAAAGAATCTAGCAAGGCTAACTTGGATCCTTCCTAATACCCTTTTCAAAATTTCAAAATGTTTGGGTCCTTCATTTTCAAGAAAAAAGTGTGTCCCGGGGATGTTCTGTGACTTAGCCCCAATGCTGAATAGTTATGAGAAAGTCTAAATCTCAACCCTAGAACTAATGCTGAATTGGAAATTTATAAAAATTAAGAAAGGAAGGTATAATAAGATGAAATTAATTGTATCAACTCAAAGTTGTACTTGAATTTCCATGGCTTAAAAGAAGATCTAAGTTGATTTTGTATATTATGATATGAGGTTATTGTGACATTGTGACATCAAAGTATTTTGTACTGAGGGCCGCCATATTATTTATCATGTTATTTAGGTTATTTATCAAATATGTACATATTTGATATGAGGGAATTTCCCTAATTGTCCCAGGGGAGGAGGAACAGTCATCATAAGCTGGTTAAAAAGCTGAAAGCCCTACTTTATTGTCACATTCATGTAATGGACATACCACATGTGAGCTCATGAACTTGTTGCCTGGCATTGAAAGTGTGTGACTGTCAGCGTCCAGTCACACACTTTCAACTCTGCTGCTGCTAGCCTACCACTATGAAAAAGAGAAATGTTTTCCAGGTCTTTGGCAATGGAAATTTATTAAAACTAGAATGTTCAAAAGGTGTTTTTAAATTGTTTATCTGGCAAAGAAGCAATAGGAATCTCCTATCTGCCTGCTTAAAATCAAAGTCAGAAATGGATAAGAAATGCCCTTTAATTGAAGATTCAAGTCACTGTTTAGTATTCATAGGTCAAAATTTTGGACTTCTCAAATCCAAGAGGAAACAGAGTCTGTCCTAATTACCATATTTTCTGCTCTGTCTTAGGCAGTTTAAATATCAACAATGATTTTAACAACAGGGAAGTTCTCCCTCTTGTCCATAAACAGCTTAAAGCTACTAACGTGGGAACCAAAGCAGAGGAGAAGAAATAGAGTTTTAATGCAAATTTAATCTTCTGTTTTATGAGGTTATCAATGTTTTGTAATATCTAGAAGGTGAAATGATCTGCCTTTTGAATAGGACTAAAAATATCAATGAATGTGTGTAGTTAAGACCCAACACACACACACACACACACAAAGATCAAGTGTGCTTGTGTTTTTTCTTATCCTGCCTTCATAGTCAAGGTAGCTGAAAAACAAAGAAAAGTTCCAGAAATTCTGTCTTAGATTTTGTAATGAGTTACTGCTAGTTGTAGGGTTGAGGCCAGAGACAGTGGGCTCATGCTGTTCATTACACAGTCTGAACTGAGGCCAATTAAGTATGCTGCATGTGCTAAAGAATGCCCACAGAAACTCCCTGCTTACCTTTGCTATCAGGAAACCTACTCCAATGTTGTAGCAAGGAAGAGCTATGAAGAATCCTAGATGTACAGCATCCTAGCTGGGTCATCATGAACAACTCATTTAACTTAGTAAGCATTATTCCCATTGTACCAGTAAGGAAACACATACCAGCCCTGCTCCTCAAGAGCTAGCCTCTGCACCACAAGACATTGTGACATCAAAGGATTTTGTACTGAAGGCTGCCATGTTGTCAACATGCTTGATATTTGGATAAAGCACCAGTGTCCTAAACATGTCTTTTGAGGCCCTTCCTGAAATGGCTTGATTAAAGAGAATTTAACAAAGGACTGATGACAAAGGCATGACCTGGCTAGTAAAGACTGTCAAAGAGGCATCCCAAAGCCTACAACAGAGGCAACATCATCACTCTTAGGAAGTAAGGAGCAAGAAAATGAGAAACCTATAACAATATAGTCAAATAACATCGAGAGTGGCCAAGCATGGGAAAAATGTTTTAGAAGGGTCTGGAACTTTTCCCTCCTTCAGTCTTAATCTCCTAGGATATTCTAGGACTGTTGTAACCCCAAAGAGATTTAGAAAGTAGGAGATTTCCTTGAAGCAATTTTTTAAGCTTACCCTTTCATGATGAGTAAGTAGAGAGGAAAGATGGGGGATATGGAAGAAAAACTGGAGTATACAGCAAACATCGTCTAGATAAATATTAATAATTCTGATAGGAACAGGAAAAGGGGGAAGGAAATACCATGTTTGGGTTACTGCTATCTGTCAAGAACTTTGATGGAATTCACTTACAGAATTTTAGAATGCCTACCATGAAAATCTGGCTATTATCATCATTAGACAGGCTGCAGTAGAGAGTCCCGATGGGTCTCCTAAATCTTTTTCATGGTCACAAAGCTACTAAGTGTGAGAATAAGAAAACATGTTTGCTTAACTTCAATTATATAGGAACCTTGATAAGGGATTCAAATTTGTTAACACAGATGAAACTTGGGTGGCATGCAACTGTGCATCTCAAGGATGGAGAGCACAAGGAATTCTATACCTGGCAGAGACTCAGGAAGCATTTCTTCTCCTATTTGATAAGCCGAACCCTCCACTGAAATACCTCACTCCCATTCTGATAGAACTCATTAACACTAACTGAGGTGTGCTCTTTTGAACTGAGCCATAAAACTATTTCAACCCCAGGTTTCTGAAAAACATCACCAATGAACATGTGTTTTTAGCCTTTGTATCTATCTGTCTATCTATTTATATATCTATATCTATATACACAAATGATGAGAAAAATATATCTTAATCTTCTCTGACTCTGAGAGGTTGCAGGCATTTTTCTACTCAAATAACCTGAAAGGCCTTATGGATGCACCTGAACCTCTTAATTTTATTGAAAAATATTGCTACCTTCCTTGGACAATTATATGATTTTCCTATAATTTTTAGAAGTTCCATGTCCAGTTCCAATGTCCAAAGTATGGCTTCAATTTGTGATGACCTTAGGATAGAGTACGATGTAAACTTTATCATCATTCATGAAAAGTATGTTAAGGAGTAAAACTAAAATTGGGTCAATAATCAATATATCCTGGGTTAAGAAAATACATACCCACAGCAGAATAGTTACCTTGGCGTCTCAGCATATTAATCATGAGTTTTTGTTGTCATTGTGGTTTTTTTTCTTGTTTATTTTCCATTCAAAAAAGCCTTACCGTCCCTTAAGTCTGAAATGTTGGCTATATTTCTACTTTCACTATTTTTGTTTTGTTTTTAACCAAAAAGGTACCCTCTCTTAATTGTATTATGATATGATCAAATCCTGAAACAAATAATTACATTAAAAGATATTATTATATAACTTTAAATGTTTCCAAATAAACAGGGGTATCAAACTGAGTGCTGTCTGAAAGTTGAATCCCCATAGGAAATTGGCACCAAGGTCTAATAAAGCAATAAGAACTCACAGCTCTTCCTAGAGCCTGCTCAGGAATTGGAGGGATTAGATTTCCCTGACCATTCTTGCACCTTGCTTGCTGCTCAGATGATTCAGGGACTTGAGCTCCATGAAAATCTCTTACAAACTAATAATTTAATTCTAGCATACATGTCCAAAGCATGTGGGGCAGGCACACACACACACACACACACACACACACACACACACACACACACACACACAAAGATAGCAATTGCAACTTCAGAATTTGCCAAGAAAGTGCCTTATCTTCAATTTGAACTGAACATTTATGGTGTCCTGGGACTAGTGTAAGTGGAAGGGACTGTCTTTAATTTTGATAGCTTTCTTTCACTTGAGCCAGAGATGTAATATACATTTATTTGATAGAAATATTCTGGGCTAGTCATAATATTTTTTATCATGGACACTTAATAACAGGGATTGGCACCTTATGACCCAAAGTTAAGTTAGAATGTAGAAAATAGAAAACTATAGTAGCATGATAATATATCTTATAGGTTTCCAAAATGGGAAAAATGAAATGTCCATCAATGTGGGAATGGGGAAATGCTTAAGTCAGTTGTAGCATATTCATATAATGAAAAATTGTGCAGCTGTTAAGAAATACTGATGTGCACTACTATATACTGGCAAGCAAGTTTCTCAAAAACATCCATCGTTAGGAATAAACAGCTTCAGGAAGATATCTGATCATGCTCACATTTGAGGTTAAATGTTTCTATGCACATATGCACATTTGTGTTGTGTATGTACTTAATGGCTTTGTGATTATGCATAACAGAATGTCAGCAATATTTTCAATGAAAAAAGGTGTAGTGGTTGGGAGAGAGCTAAATAAAGGTATTCAAAATAACTTCAGGATTATATAAGCAAATTTAAAATCTTTAACCTGAATATTAAATAACTAGTGAAACAGACCCACAGGAAGCCTGAAAAAAAAAACTCTTTAAGATTTTAGCATGAACAATTTTATCATATCTTGGTGATTTTGTTTTACTTGCGTTTCTGTTTTCTACAACTTCCTACGTTTTGCAATATTTTAACTTTATAGTAGAAGAGACAATTAAGCCATTAAAACATAAATGTAATTCAACAGTACCTTAACATTTAGAAACTTGAGTAGATTAGTTCTGATTGGTGTTTTATGCATCTGAGTTGATTCTAGTAATGCTTTTATTTCTTTCATCTTTCTAATGTATTTGTAGCTTCAGAATAATTTATCTTTGATGGTAGAACCTTTAAGCTATTTGTCTATTCACTCATCTTGTAGGGGAATTGGGGGGTCTATGATAAATTATAGGATTCTTTTACTTCCAGGGTTTTCTTGGGTGGAAAGAGGCTCCATTATGATTTATAATTTCATTTGTTAGGCAGTTTCCTTTCTAATGTATATTTTCACAAGTTCTTTGTATGGGCTTTCTCAAGTTATCTAGAGACATTTCTAACTGCAATCTTTCTCAGTGTTGCTTTCACAGATAGAGACCAGTTAAATGTCAACAGAAATGGAAAATATCTGAGTGGGTGCATGATATAAGCACAAGTGTGTTTGTGTTTGTTGCATACATTGCTGAATGAACTCTGCCTGAAAGTCATTCTCCCACTTTTCTCCCTCAGCTATTATAAAAACTGCTCTTCCCAACATGGACAGAGAAGCCAAGGAGGAGTACCTGGTTGTTATTCAAGCCAAAGATATGGGTGGACACTCTGGTGGCCTGTCCGGGACCACGACGCTCACAGTAACCCTTACTGATGTTAATGACAATCCTCCAAAATTTGCACAGAGTAAGTGGATTTCCTACACTAGATGAGAATATAAGTATGGTATTTTTCACTTGAATTTATATTATAATTTTCAGTGACATTCCAAAAACTCATAGCAAATATTGAGTACTTAATTTAGAGAGTATGAAAAAAATAACCCCTTTGCACTTAACAACTATCCCATGAACCATCTTTATCCCCATTTCACAGAATTCAAAAACATGGGGAAAATTTCCAAATATCAAGTATGCAGTATGTAACTGAGAAGTAGAATGAGATTGAGATAAGGATGAGAATACCACTAAGATATTGATCAATTATTATTTCTGGTACTGAATAAAAGAAACCAAATGCCCAGTGTCTGTACTGGGGGGAGGCCAACACACTGTAAACTTGCTGCCACACTTGCATGTGTGGCATCTGGGAGGGACAATGCCCATGACTCTCTCCACTCTCTGAGTTAAGGCTGTGCTTTGCCTGTACAACTCCAATAACACCATAGGCAGTCACCTCAGTGAATTGGGGAGACAATCATTATTTTCTAAGTATCTTGTACTCTGCTGAAACATTTTTTTTTTGAGCATTTATCCAAGTAATGTGACATAGAGGAATGAGTCAGCAAAGCCTTTCTGACACAAGGACTCCCAAATTGAAATATGAAGAATGGATAGGTTTAGTTGGAATAAGATGAAACCAGCTAGAACATAAGAAATCAGGGGAGAGATAAGGGATATTGTAGTTAAAAGATTTTTTATTTTTTTTTTAAGATTCCACATATAAGTGAGATTGGACAGTATATTTCCTTTTCTGCCTGGCCTATTGGACTTAATGTTCTCTAGGCTCAACCATGTTGTCATAAATGGCAAGATATCCTTTTTGTAAAGTTGAATACTATTCTATCGTATATAAGCACCACAGCTTTTTAAACCAGTCTTCCACCAATGGACACCTAATTTGTTTCTATGTCTTGGCGACTGTGAATAATGTTGCATTGAACATCTGAGGGTAAGGTGAGTGTATGATCTTGTATGGTCAGAAAAGATTTCACAGCAGGTGGAGCATAGAAGTACCAGCTGGAGAATGTGGCAACAGGGGCTAGACAATTAGCATAGGCAGGAATTAGCTGAACTTGGATTTATAGGCCATGTTAAGTACCACAAACTTTATTCTAAGATCACTGAAAATCCATTAGAAGATTTAAAATGGAGGTAGAGTTATAGTTTATCTCTAGGAAAATCAGGAAAAAAATAAAAATCTGGCCTTCTTCTAGTGTCTTTCTCCACACTGCCCCCAGTGAAAGGGATATTTACAAACATTCATGTAAATTGAATAGCCCTGGCAAGCAAGGGTCATAGCAGTGGAAGTGATAGAGTAAAGTATAGGTGTGGTTAATACTTCAGAGTTAATAATGGGAATAGTCTAAGGATTGATCGCCTTTTTCAGATAAAAAAAAATGGTTATCATATTTGTGATATTAGAGATATCCACTGGTGCTTTTTACTAGGATAGGAAACATCACAGGACAATTGTTCTTTGAAAAGAAAAGAGAGAAGAGACAGGACAGAGGGATGGAGCTTGAAAATGACATATTTAACGTACCTTTGAGAATTTACCTGAAGGAATTCCAAGGCAGAGAGAATAGAGATGCATTTTCATTAAGAATGTTAGAACTTTTACATCTTGCCATTCATAAATTAGACAATAATGCAACCCTTTTAAACAAAATTATTGAAGTGGAGAGCACCATTTCTCCTTGCCTTTCCCCAGTCTTTTATTCCTTATTCAGTTACCATTACAGTTAATGCTATAATGTGCAATTCTTCTTTCTCAGAAAATGATTATCTCAATTTAGCAGTGGCAGATGAGTTTCAAAAGCAGTCCCTTTCTTAGCAGCAATAACTATTAACTATGATCACACTGATAGAGATGATGAGAATGAGCAGAATATCAATGGATAAAGGAATGCTCCATTTGCTTGGTTTCACAAGGCTCCCTGGTGTAGGTCTGGCAGCAAGGTGAGGCCCCTGGCTGGCTTATTTACTTAATAAGCATACCTAAAGGGATCATCTGCAAGCTTACCTGGAATATAAAGTTTGAAAGCAATAGAATCATTATACCAATTATGACCAAATTGGGAGATGCATGTTCCACATGATGATTTTCAGTGCCTACCTATGGTAAAACCATTTGGAAAATGTTTTTTTTTTTTTCTTCCTCAGCCCCATAACTTCATGATTCTAAGAGATATTTTTATTTCATCATTAACAGAAAGGGTATTAGAGCTTGATGAAACTTCACTCAGCAACTAAACCAATCTTGTTATGTTGGGCAAAATGAGCCTTGGTTTATCCAAGGGATTCCATGATGGAATTCAAACTAGAACTATGTGATGTTCTCCAGATTTAATTTTTCCTATTGGGTTTATAGTTCATTGAATGTCTATTTCTCCCTTGGTGTGATAGTCTAAAACGTCCTGGTTGTCTGAGTTTTACTTCTCCAGAAACATTCACCAAGACAACCATTTGGTTAAAAGAAACTGAACCTATAGATGGTTCCATTAAACTCCAGTGAGGGAAAGTGAGAGAGAGAAGGATAAAGAGCCAAAGTAGGTGCACAATCTAACCAGCTACCACTACGGGTGAGTGGAACTTCATCTCATGCAGAAAAATCTGGCCTATTAGAAAGAAATAAAAGAAAAAGGGAAAATAGAATGTCCTGGGATTTTATATACTACCTCCTGTGAGTCCTGGAGGGCTGCTTCTGCAGGGGAATGAGTGCCCTGGAAGTTCCAGTCTGACATGCAATGGACCAAATGGAATATGAAAGCCAGAGGAATCCCTCAGGCAAAGAAATGCAGGAGCTGGCAGTTAGATGTAGGGCAGGTGTGATCTAAAGTGGTAATGGCCAGGGATTGTGTTTGGAGCACCCCCAGTTTACAGGATACCAAGGAAAGTGAGTGACAACAACATCACAATGAAAGCCATTTGAATAAAAATAGGACAAGTGCCACTAATTAGACATGTTTTACTGTCCCCATAGGAGAATGAAAATACACTGTAATTGTATTTTGCCTAGGGAGTTTTGAAGGTAGCATTTTTGTCTTCAGAGCAATGAGGACATTAGTAACAGGAGGAGTGTTTCTTGTGTCTGAACAGCTTGCTGCAGGGCACAGCAGAAGTTTAGTAATTGGATTTTATCAAAAAACGGTCTACAAGTCTGTAAATGTAAAAGTAAGTTCAAAAGTGACTTTCAGTATGTTACATATCGCATCTTTCTGAGCTGAAATTAGCTTAATATGTTATGTTGGGCAACAATGAATATGTCCACAGGCAGTCAGTGTGATTATACAGCAAACTGGAAGGTACATTCACATAGACTCACTAATATTCTGATCTAGTTGTTCCAAATATATACCTGATAAACATGGTTGAACAAATCCCAAATCTCAGAAGAATCTTGAAAAAAAGAGTTCACTGCTCTGGGAAATATTTGTCTCTCTTTATTTAGAAGACTGCATGTTTCACAAGGCAATGGGGATATTCTCATCTTTTCCGTTGTTCAGAACAAAGGAAGCACTTAACACCTATCTGCTGAATGGATTCGTACATAGCTAGCATTGGTGCAGCACTCAGTGTTTCTTCTCTTTTCTAAGGTCTGTATCACTTCTCAGTACCAGAAGATGTGGTTCTTGGCACGGCAATAGGAAGGGTCAAGGCCAATGACCAGGATGTTGGTGAAAATGCACAGTCCTCTTATGACATCATTGACGGAGATGGAACAGCACTCTTTGAAATCACCTCCGACGCCCAGGCCCAGGATGGCATCATACGACTAAGAAAGGTAAGCTAAGGAAGGTTTTGCTCATCTTTAAAATACCATCCACAGACACTTGAGCTTGGACTGTCAGAATCTTAGAGCTGGTAGGCATTTGGCTTTTCCTTGTAAAACATGATGACTATTAGGATCCTTTTAGCACCTCTAATCCATTGGGCCCACTTCACATTTCAGCTGAAGCTCAGGTAAACAGCTACCATGATGGTGCTGACCTCTCATCTTAACCTGATATTTCTCTCCTTGTCTATTCCTCAGTGACTTTCCCTAAGCCCCGAGAGCTTAGGGAAAGCTAACTCCGCCTTTGTACAGGGCACTGCAGCTATTAAAGAAAGTCAATGCCCAGAAGGGAACTCTCAACCAATTGGGAACAAAAGTTGATGGACAGTATTCTGAGGCATATTGCTTAATGTCTGCTAAAAAGTATTCTCAGTAGAAGTCAGTCTCAGTTGCCCCACAATGGTGACAAGTTCAATAGCTTTTAGTCTTTCCCTGTATAACTCTCCTATTTCTGTACTGCTGCTTTCTCAAAGATCTTCCAAGATATATTGACATTTCCCCCAAGTCTTTATTGAAAGCTGAACTTTCAGGAAAAACTCAAAGACAGGCTGAACATTCAGGTTCAGATATCCTAGCCAGCTCTGGAGCTCTGATTAGAAGACCAACCCTGCTACCACTAGCTGCTCTAAACTATGGGTTAACAGCCCAGTCATTATGGGAAATGAAATAAAACTCAGTTTAGCCTTACTTCTGGGTGTAGGGCTACTATTAGGAGGAAAAAAACTTAAAAAGTGTCTCTGAATGTAGACTTTGACAATGTGAGACTGCTTTTGCCATCAATCTATGGCTCACGGTAGATATGAAAAATTCTGTTCATTTTTCCATTTTTATTTCTTATAATAAAAAAGTTCACAAGGAATGTGCAAAACATAGTTTATTATTTTATGTACACAAAGCCTTGCAAGGGAAAATACTCTTATCCTCATCAAAACTTTGTTGGAAATCATTCTACATACCTTTGTCATGAAGTAGGTCATGCTATTTTTGAATGGATAAATAAGAAGTACATGGGAGATTCTTAGGAGCCAATAATTCCTTCCTCTGTCTTGATCAGCATGTCATTGATATGATTCACTATGTGATTTTCTGATGTTACATAAAGATCCATTATTCCCAGAGGTCCTGCTCTTAAAATTTCCCATTGAAGAGTTATTAACCATAGAAATATGAAATCTTCTGTTTACATTTTTGTATAAATATAATGTTAAAAATCAATTTGGGAAAAAAAATGGATGCATTTTTTTTCACTTTCTTTTGAGCAATACTGTTTTCAGATCAGGATCCTAGCTTGGGTTTAGAACTCAAGAGTTGCAAAATGTTTAAAAACTCATATTTGAAATGGAGTGCAGTATAATGACACTTGAGTCAATTACTAAATGACCCAGAGCCACATTGTCTTTGGCTAGCAATTCCTAATGTGATGTTTATTGTTATTCTTAACTGCTATCCTTTGTTGCCATAAGGTGCTTTTTATAAACTGAAACATTAGCTGTTTTATGTTTTTGTCCACTGTTATTCATAAACTTGGAAGCATGTACTTTGTACCTTGACACAAGTATTTTACTTTAGAGAATAATTCATGGGCCTTCAATTCATGGGCCATCTAATTTGTCTGATGACAGAAGAATATATTTAGGTACATTGTTGTTATATGAGCTAAAGGTGAGACACAACTAGGTTTTGAATCTGCCTACATATTTCTTTATATGCTCACCTGCTTCGTAGCACAGCACTTAACAGTAGAATATATTGAGGTACATTGTTGTTATATGAGCTACAGGTGAGACCCTCCTTGCATGGAAGCCTTCTGATCTGTACTTATTACTGAAGTGTATCAGGCAACAAGCAAGGTACAGGGGTTCCCACTTTTTTTTTCCTTTCAGGCAACAACAGTCATTAATCCCCCTCTATAAGTGATTGCAAAAATTCTCTGGAAAATCCTGAGGAGAAGGTCTAGAGACTTACCATTGGCTGAGATTTGTGAGAATAGGAGGAATGGAAAAGTGGAAGATGCTAAACAAAGAGTCCAACCTCTCAGCTAAGACTGGATAAATAATTTTTTGAATGACCTATATTACAACATGTGGCCACAGTTAATGATAATGTATTGTGTACTTCAAAATTGCCAGAACAAATTTTTATTATTCTCCTCATCCCCCCAAAAATCTGAAACAATTAGTGATGTGATAGATATGTTAATTAGCTTGATTGAACTTTTCCTTAACATAAACATAGATGAAAACATCAAATAGTATCCCATAAACATATAAAATTATTATTTGTCAATTAAAAAATAAAATTAAGAAATTAACAATAGAATCCATTATATTGAACATTGTTTGCAAAGACCTTGAAATTTTAAAATTGTTACAGTAGGGGTGATTGACAAATGTGATTATGCCGATAGTGAATCATTTATTCATAGGTTATATACTTGTGCCTACTAATTTCAGAATCAACAGGGAAGTGAATGTTTGCATAGTTTACTGGAAAATATTGGCGGGGGGAAGCTAAGTCTCATTAGATCTGAATTCAAATATAAAAATCAACACAAAAATTTTAAGTAAGAGTATATATTTAAGCTTGCCTAAGAGTTCTGAAAGACTTCACTGATGGTAGGTAGTTTGTGTTCCAGCTTCTTATTTTTTAAAAATCTGCATTGCAGATTTAAAGTTCTGTTTCTTATGAGAAACTGTAATGCAGACGTAACTATCTCCTTGAATCTTGACAGTCTTGCATTCTTGAAATCTGGAGTATTATAAGTTGCCAAGAATTGGGCTATAAGGGTTCTGATGCAGATGGGTCTCTGGTGTATTTAAAGGGACTATCTTCTCTTACCTCACTCTATTAACCTAGGCCAATGACAAGAGTCTCTTGCCCTGATAAGGAATGAAGTGTTAATATGTCAGAAATATTTTCAGTAATGGTACAATGAAGCAACTGCAAGTTGTTTTTAAGTGGTTGGTGAGTGCATACTCAGACCAAGTTCTATTTATACTGCACTCACTTTCCTTCTTCTAAATATAAACACAGCTAGGTTTTGAATCTGCCTACATATTTCTTTATATGCTCACCTGCTTGGTAGCACAGCACTTAACAGTAAAGACCTTTGCCAAGGCCCTAAAAAATAATAAACCTCATTTTAATTATATAATCAGTAAAGTAGCAATGCTTTAGAAATAAAATAAGAAAACACTCTTTGTTGGGATCCGTGCTAAATTATGCTTTAAAATGTCTCCTTGGACTAAACAATGATTATTTCTAGTTCTTTACATTTCACACACTGTTGCAGAAATGAGAAAATATTCTTCCCAGATAGAGATTGCATTCGATGCTGCCTTATCTCCTACCAGCAGAGGCCTGATTAACTGGCTGATTAGTATGCAGGTCATGCTATCACTAGTAAAATTTTATTATGACTCTGAAGTGAAATTTTGATGGCAGAATTCATGACTGTGAATATTTTGTGAATTCCAAGTGAAATGAGCAAAACAAAACAAAACAATGGGAGATTAGATTCACTGAGCTTGTATAATAAACAGATATCAATAAATGCCTGTAAAATTTACAGGTTGAATCTAGGGGAATGGAGAGTGATCCCATTAAGACTCACAAATGGGCTTAAATGCACCTAACTTTCATCCATCAGCATTATACTCATTTGTTCTTGCTGCTGCGGTCATTAGTGAAGCATTCATCTTTGTCATTTCTTAACAGCCTCTGGACTTTGAGACCAAGAAATCCTATACTTTGAAGGTGGAGGCAGCCAATGTCCATATTGACCCACGTTTCAGCAGCAGGGGACCCTTTAAAGATACGGCTACGGTTAAAATTGTCGTGGAGGATGCCGATGAGCCTCCTGTCTTCTCTTCGCCAACGTACCTCCTGGAAGTTCATGAAAATGCTGCTCTGAACTCCGTGATTGGACAAGTGACTGCTCGTGACCCTGATGTCACATCCAGTCCTATAAGGTATTTCTCTTTTAAATGACGTACTGGCAACTTGCAAGGACAAACTCATCATTACAAAATGCTATGATTGGGTCCACATTCTGCGTGGCTGCCTTTGAGTCTAGGATCACATGACAAAGGAATTTTGGCCCAAACGTGCTCTGTCTGTGTGTCTGTGTATATGTGAATGTATGCACATAGAGATACGTGCCTACTAAGGGCTTCACACAATGTCTGACACCAGAAACCTCAAGATTAATCAACCTATTGAGCTTTTATAAAGCCCAATGATGATGCAAAATCCCAAATATTTTGCAGCACATTTTGGGTGAACCTTTTATATTTTTTCTTTTATTGCTTTTTAGCATTGCAAAAGCTAGTTTGTCTTACAGTGATACATTATAACTGATACAAGTTATACATTAGAATGTAAAGACATAAGACTGCTGTGTGCATGTATTAAGAGGATCCCATCTTATTTCCGTTTGATGTTTGGCTTTAAAATTAGCTTATTCTCAGTTCATGGGCATTTCTCTTTGGTCAGCATATCTGGTTCAGTGTCTTTTAGACAACAATCTTTTCCCTCACTTTCAAATTGTCTTTTGTTTACATTTTTTTTCTGCTCAGAAATTTTTAGCAGGATGAGAAATAGTTGTTTATGAGAGGCTTTCTTTTTCTTTTTTCTTTTCTTTTCTTTCTTTTTTTTTTTTTTTTTTTTAAGAAATGAGGCTCAATCCTATTTTCTTTTTTTCTGTTGAACTGTAAATACCTTTTCTCTTTTGCCAATCACCCAAATGGCAGTACAGGTACTCAAGCTAAATAGCTTCCTTTGAAAAGCATGCTGAAAATCTATACTTTGAAGGCTGGTCTCTAAGGGTGAAGTGTTGGCTAATGATGTGTTTGAGTGTGGATTTCAAATATTTTCTTTGAAAATTTTGTTGGGGGAAGGAGGAGAGAGAGAAAAAGAGAGAGAGAGAGAGAATATAAATAAACTAGGTGGAGGAGTAAGATTTTGTTTTAAGGAATTATATAGTAAATCTATATGTTAGGTGTCAACACACACACCCAGCACCCAACTTTGAATTTCTAAGTCAGAGATATCTAGAACAGACCACCCTTCTTACTAATTTATTTACGGAAATTCTTGGCAAAAGAGTTTTCTAGAAGTTTTATTTATTTACTTTTTAAAAAATGTATTAAACCCTCATTGCCAACAAGGGTGCTCAGTCTAAGAAGCTGAGAGAAACTCTGCAGAATAGTCCTCAATAACTTGAATTTGAACATAGGGGAAATGTTTTCATATCCAGAATACCCTCTTAACACAATATAGTTCCAAATTTAGGATGATAAGTAATAGTACATCCCATAAGGAATCAGATAAAGCTTTCTACGGATGAATGCAGTCTCAAAGAAGACAAAACTGAGGAGGTTAGGAATGGTCCGTGGTTAGGTTCAGAGGAATTCAACACACTGTAGATTTATACAGTACCCCTTATTTGGCTAAGGGAAAAATATCTTTGAAAGGTCAAATATTAAATGGAAGGGCAAGAATTATCCAGAAAGACAAGTTTACATGAACATCCCTTTTCTGAATCTCTAGTAAAGTTATGCAATGGCTTTATGGTGGAATTCTTTTGTAGAGAGGGGCAGTGATATTTTTATATATAGGGATAGTGATATTTTAAGTGAATGAATGTGCCTCATTTTTATATTTCTTCATTTTCTCTGAAAGAAATACATACAGAGGAAAAATTGTCACTTTTTTTATATCTCCAAGCATGAGATCGATGCTAAAGGAAGTAAACAAGATTGGTTCAACTGAGGAATCAGTCTGGGAATAGTTTGAGCCTTTCAATTTGACAAGGTTTCTACGCTTAGCAGTGAGGAGCATATAAGGACTCAGAAAGATACCAAGCCATCAGTCCTGTGGAGTAATAGGGATTCAGATATTGGGGCGATTACAGGAATACTCCAAAATTGTGTCCATGGTACCAGTTATACAGGACCTGCTGTGTGTAGACATGTTCTTCCTCAGTTAAAGGTAAGGTCTGAGAAATTTTTTGTGCCATGGTGAATTGGCAGAGCTGGGTTTAAATCCTGGCTCATAAAACTCCATACACTTTTGCTCCTTGAATGATCTATCCATTCTACTGAGCAAAAAAAAAAAAAAAAAAAAAGCAGAGACTTACTGATCATAATTTCAGTACATGGGAAATCAAGCCGTTATTCTCACTGTACTTACTTGCTACTACTATTTTTATTGTTGCACTGTCTGGAGAGTTGTGTGTAAAGGAAGCTAGAGCCTGGTCAGCAACAACCACCTGGCTTAGAAGTATTTCATTTTCAGACAAGCTAAGTAGGATTTGAGGCTGTGTTACCAGGAAGAGATGGACAGATAAAGTATAAATTGATGACACAGACATATCTGTGTTTTTGATAGATGTCAGGCAAGTACCAGCTCCTATACATCTACGGTCCCATACAAAGAAGTGAGGTTGCTATTTCAAAGCATTTACAATAGGCTTTGAAGTGACAGTCACAAGGTGCTCCCCACACAGCCCTGATAGGAGGTGGACAGCTCCGTGACATGAGAATGCAGCCACACCAGCTGTGCTTTTCAGCATCTGTTCTGTGTCGCTGAAGCTCCTTCCCTACCAGTTGGGATACAGAGAGCAGCTTTCTCCTGTCTATGCACAACTGGTTAAATTCTGTAGAAAATTAAATTTCCTGACTAGTCAGAGCCATGCCTAGTTCTTTATGAGCCTAGCAGATGGATTTATAGCTATTTATCCTTTTAAAACACGACTCGAAGACATGGATACTCAGGGAATTATAGAGTAACAGATATCCATTATTTTCTCTTTAAGATTATTGTATTTCATAGGCTGACAAGAACATACCTATTTTTTAGGTTAATATTTGCTTTGCCATGCAGCAAGATAGAGGTATTTATTGTGGTCACCGCCCTGCTAAAATGTATAGCCATTCACTAGTTGGTCAACTTCTGTAAGACTTCTTCTGAGTACACATCATCTAGTTAGAAATATCCTGCATTTTAGAATTCATACACCTATCGCTGAATCTGTATCTGTATCTAGATGTCTGTATATGTCCTTCTAGGAAAAGAATGGATAGTGCATTAAGCAAAATCCACAGTCACATCTTTACCCTCAACAATAATATTAATTAAGCATTTATATTTTTTTAAAGATGACATATTTTTAACTTAGTCAAATGAAATTTCAAACTGTACCATGATTGCTGTCCTGTCAGACTTTTCATCTCTGAAATTCTCTGAGGTTCCGTTTCCTCACTGGTATGGGATTATAATATCTTCCTCATGATTAAATAAAGATATTAAATAATCTGTTGTAGCTATTAGAATTACCAGCTAATAAAACGTAAACCACCAACAACTAACTTTACATTGTAAATGTAAATTAAAAACCTACTTCTTATTTTAGCCAAGATTGTTCTAAGAAAAGTGGCTAACTATATGGAGAATGATCTATTTTTGGTTTTGCTGTCTGCTAACTAGTATGGTAATTAAACTCATTTAATCTAATTTGTCCCTGCTACTTACCTAAATATTGTTACAATAAGTGCTTAATGTGTGTCAGGGACTGTGCTCCTAACTCCTCTCTAAGATAATATGTAGTCATTACTCCCACTTATCAGATTAGAAAACTGAGGATAGAAACACTATCTTGTTCAATGTTGCACGAATGCTGAAGAGTGGGTCTGGATGTGTTAGTCAGATTTCCATCACTGTGACAAAATACCTGATAAAATCAACTTTAAAGAGGAAAGTTTCATTTGGGATCCTGGTCTCAGATGTTTCAGTCCATGATTCCTTGGCTGCATTGTTTTGTGCCTGTTATGGCAAAGTACATTATGGTAGGAGGGCATGGCTGAAGAAGCTGAGCACATCATGACATCCAAGAAGGAAAGAGAGAGATACTGGAAGTGACGAGAATCTCAATATCCTCTTGAAGGACATGTCCCAATGACCTAACATCCTTCCATGAGTTTCTACCTTCTAATGCCCCTACTACTTTCCAATAGTGACTTAGGCTGATTACCAAATCTTTAACACAAGAACTTTGGGGGATACTCCAAACCAAATTCAAGAATTGCTTTTCCTTAAATTTATTTTTTATAATGCAATGCTGTTCTCTGCCGGAACGCAACAGTTCCTCTGATTTTTGTAATTCCAGCCGTGTCCATATACTTTAGTATGGTTTAACAGGAATAATTTATTTGAAATATTAAACTTCATTCTCTAAATAATCTTATCAAATCCAGCATGCAAAACAGGGAAGAAGAACAAATAAGTAAATTCTATGGAGTTTACTAATTATGGCTGGGTGTTCCTTGCTCATCTGTCTAGCCACTTTGGACAGGTTTGTTACTGTTGGCTGTGAATCATATTCTGATCTGGGAGGTCAATGTGGAAACCATGATATTTTCATTTGATGAATCAGATGTTGTGCTATTTTTTAAGTATTATTTCCTTCAGACACTGGGGAATGGATAGGATGATTTCAGTTTTCTGGAAAAGAAACCTGAATCTCCAAATGGATAATTTGTCTGTGCATGGAGATAAAGCAGATGAGTATGGGGGCAAGGTTTAAGCCTAAGCTTCGTATTACCATTGACCACTACCATATTGTCTTCTCCACTAGGCTATAAAATCTTGAATGGGAGTAGGATAATGACATCTGATAGTTACTGAGCCCATACTTTGGGACAGACACGTGAAAACAATGATATATGCAACAAATTATTTATACTTCAGTTAAAATTTTCTACCACAGAGTAGGTTTTAAAAATTATATATATATATTTCCCCCCCCCCCGTGGACACAACATCTGTATTTTATTTGTATGTGGTGCTGAGGATTGAACTCAGTGCCCCACGCATACCAGGCGAGCACGCTACTGCTTGAGCCACATTCCCAGGTTTTAAAAATAAATTGAGGCTTTCATACAAACTGCGATGGCCCTTTTGCCCCCTTTTA